AGGTCTGATATTTGGCCGGTGAGTTTTTTGCTCCTTCATCGTCTGCGTGAGTGCCATATCTAGTATGGCCTATATCTTCTCAAAATTAGCCTCAATGCCTCTCTGAGTGACGATGAAACCTATGAATTTGCCTGATGTAATACCTAAGGCACACTTACTGGGGTTAAGCTTCATGTTATACTTTTGCAAGGTGTCGAAGGTCTCGGCTAGGTCTGAGACGTGGGTCTCAGCCCTCAGGCTCTTTACTACCATGTCATCCACATAGGCTTCAACGTTCTTCCCCATCTGCTCTTTGAACACCTTGTTGACAAGGTGATAGTAGGTGGCTCCAACATTCTTGAGGCCGAAGGGCATCACACGGTAGCAGTATATGCCATGCTCAGTGATGAATGAGGTTTTCTCCTCATCATCTGGATGCATCTTTATCTGATTGTATCTGGAGAAGGCATTCATGAAGCTGAGCAGCTTGTACCCTGTAGGGGCGTCAACAAGGTGGTCTATCCTCGGCAAAGGAAAATTGTCCTTGGGGCAGGTTCGATAAGGTCTATGGAATCAATACATATCCGCCATTTTCCGTTAGCTTTCTTTATCATAACCATGTTTGACAACCAATTAGGGTAGTGTACCTCTTGAATGAAGCCGACGTCGAGTAGCTTTTCAACTTCCTCTTCTATGGCCTTCTAATGTTCTAGTGCAAAGTTCCTCTTCTTTTGTCGAACTGGCCTAGAGCTCGGGTCCACACTCAGCCTGTGTGTAATGACCGAAAGGTCAATACTAGGCATGTTAGCGACGGACCAAGCAAAGGCGTCGGCATTGAGTTTGAGGAAACTTACCAATTTGGATAGGCTCTCGGGGGGGAAGGTTGGACCCGACGCGGACTGTTTTTCCAGGTTCGTCCTCATCTAGGGGGACCGAGACAAGGTCCTCGGTCGGTTAGCCTCGGCTTTCTGGCTCCTCCCTGAGATCGAGACCCTCTAGTGGAGAGTTTCTTTATTCTTGCCCTCCAGTGCTGCCACATAGCACTGACGGGAGGCGTGCTGGTCCCCACGGACGACCTCGACACCACACTCGATGGAGAACTTCAAGGCGAGATGGTAGGAAGAAATGGCTGCCCGGAGTGTGTGAAGGGTTGGCCTCCCCATTATAGAGTTATAGGGTGAGCCAATCTTCACAACTAGGAACTCTGTCATCCTTGTCACTTGCTGGGGCTCCGTACTGTGACCGGTAGGGAAATCTTGCCCTCCAGTTTGACGATGCTACTAGAGAAGCCGACTAGTGGGGCATCTACTGGTTGGAGGCGCTCTGGATCTATCTTCATATTTTCAAAAGCCTCATAGAAAAGGATGTCGGCTGAGGAGCCACTGTCTACAAGGATTCTTTCGAATATGAAGTTTGCAATGACGGCTGAAACCACCAATGCGCCGTCATGGGGGACTGCTACCCCCTTCAGGTCCTTGTCTTTGAAGTAGAGGGGTTCTCGCTTCTGCTTCATGGGGGCCGACCCCTGGATGTTTAACTGCCTGGTGTTGGCTTTGCGAGCCAAAGTCGAGGCTCCACCCGATGTCGTGCCTCCCACTATGACATCGACAATGCCTGTAGCTTGCTAGTGCTGGTGCTGCTATTGTTGAGAGGATTAGGCACTGGCCTCGCCTCTGACGTACTGCTTGAGGTGACCTCAATGAATGAGAGACTACCTCATTTTTTAGATCATAGCAGTCCTCAGTGTCGTAGCCCGTACCTCGGTAAAACTTGCAATACTTTTTAGGATTCCCCCGATGAAGGTTCTTCTTCAACTTTTCGAGCCACTACATAAATTTCTCTTGCCCGATCTGCATCAAGATTTGCGTGTGGGTGAAGTTGAGTGCGTGTATTGATTATAAGCTAAGGCCGAGTTCGAAGGCTTTCTGTTGTTGTTGTTGTTGCAGCTCTGGTCCCCGTTTTTTCTCTTCTTCTCGGGGGCTCCGTCCCAGTGCTCTACGCCCCTCTCATGGACATTTGTGGCCAATGCCTCTTGAATTGCATTATATTTTTGGGCCCTTTCTAGGAACTCTAGCTTCGTCTTCGATTGGCTTTTGGTCACGGAGCATTCGATGGTAGAGCCAGGGAGGAGCCCGCTAATAGCGGCATGCATGGAGATCAGGGGGTCGAGGTTGCAGACCTCAAGTTCTTCTTTCTTGAAGTGGTCAATGTAAGACCACAAGCTTTCCCTCACTTCTACTTGACAGTCATCAGCGAGACGACACTCTTCTGGGGGTGCCGACTGTTGATGAAGTGCGCGAGGAACATGCTGGAGAAATGTTCCCACGAATTGATGGACCGAGGTAGGAGGCTTGAGAATCACCGCCAAGTGGCTCCCTTGAAGGTTGCCTGAAAAGTTTGGCACGTCAAGGCATCAGAGTACCCATAATAGGATCATGAGTGTCCTAAAGCTTTCCAGGTGGTCGTCTGGGTTAGAGTTCCCGTTGTACATCTCCAAAGCGAGAGCCTTGAAGTTCGGGGGTAGAGACTCGACGATGGTATCAAGAGAGAAGGCATCCATTCTCTCTTGGCAGGAGCTTTGTCCGGTCGAGGTGTCGGTTCAGCCCTCTTTCACCTGTTTAAGCTCGACTTTGACAGCTTCGAGCTCAACTCGAAGTTCGGCAAACATGGGGTTGGGCATGGCCTGCGTGCCATCCCGGTCTTCACAAGCACAGTGGTGCTCGGCATGGACTCTGGAGTGCTTAGAGTTGAGACCGCAATGCTTTGCGTTTAGCGTGGTGGTCATTAAGGACATCCCGAAGGTCCGAGACGTGAGGGGAAGAGAGGTTCAATGCCGGCCCTCGGCCCTGGAATGGGCACTGGAGCGATCGCGACGTCCGCCTTCGTCTCTCGGATTGGCCCTCGATGTCGGTGATGCTGCTCAGAGGGCTGACGGCTATCCTCAGATCGTTCCGGATCCTCCCTTCGACTGGGAGGTCTGAAGGTGCTGGAGTGTGGGTCGGCCGGGCGACTGCTAGACCTGTTCATGGGCCGGGTGGCCCGACGGGCCGGCCTGGCCCCCGAACGGGCTTGAACGTGGTTATAGGCCCGTGGGCTTAAATTCGGGCCAAAAAGCCCGGCCCGCAATAAATTCGATCCGGGCTCAAGTTTTGTCAGAATAGCTCGGCCCGAGCCTGGCCCGACCCGACCTAATATTAGACTTAAAGTGAGTAATGTGATTATGTCCATTTGAATAAATTTTTTTATTTAAGAATGTAAAACTGTGTTTTAAAATATAAAAGAAAGGGGAAAAAAACCATCTTGTAGGCCCATTGTTCATTCTAATTTGAATAGGGAAAATTGTTTTTTTTATTAGGTCGGGCTTCGGTCTCGGGCTCAGGCTTCGGGCTTTTTATCAAGGTCGGGCTTGGGCCCAAGTTATAGGCCCGTTGGTCGGCTCGGGCTCGGGCTCGGGCCTAGCATATTTCCCTTAATGACAAGTGAAAGCCCGGCCCAGCCCGACCCATGAACAAGTCTAGCGACTACTGCCAGATTCTGAGGGCTCGATCCGCTCAGCGTGGCCGAGGCTGGGGGCCCACTGGGTGGTGGACCCACGCCGACCTAGCTGTGTTGACTCCCCGGCGAGGCGGTCACTTTGGGGGCGACTTCATGCCTGAGGGATGTTCTGCTCGATTCGATGTGCTAAATATTCCAGGCAATCGAGCACGACCTAGAACTGTTCATTGGTGACAAGATTTTGTGTATTCCTCGTTCTTTGAACCATGTTGATCGGTCGGAGCTTGGGGACTTGCTAACTTGCTATAGTTCTTTCGAGGAACGTATCAGTGTTGTTCCCACAGACGATGCCAATTATTGGTGCTCGGAATGGTCGAGGACAACAAAGTAATTTCACCCCTGGACTCCGAAGGGTGGCCGAAGCCTTTGAGGACTCAGAGAGGTCATTGTTGAGGCCGATGTGTGTGCGCTGAGGCGGGGTAGACTCCAAGTACGGTAGAAGCCGAGGGTAGGTGGCCGAAGTGCTATAAGGCAGAAACTCGTCAGAGGCCCCGGGTGAGAACTCGAGGCAGAATCTCCGATGGTCAAGTTAGCACAGGGTACGAAGGGAGAGTACCAAGGTCGGAGGATCCTAGTAGGCAGTTCTAGAATAAAGTTCCAACAACAGTTATTACAATACCCCTTACTACGATAGCTGTTGGTCTAGAGTTTGTAATCCCCTTACCTTGCAGGGAGGTATCCTTATTTATACTCGAACCACCTGGAAATAGATGAAGATGAACGCATGAAATGAGAGCCGTACGAGGGCCTATAACGACTTAAACAGGGTTTTGCAAATGCATCGCGGTTGGGCCTGCTGTAGCGGATTTCGCTCCCTGATCTAGCGCTCGTAGGTTGGGCCTCCCCACCTCAAATGAACTAGATTGGGTCACCCTACATCTGTTGGTAAAGAAAATTAGATGATAATAAGAAGGTAGCACTAGACCCAAAATATCGAATTTTCCCTTTATAAATATACAAGTACCGAGGCGATAGATTATTGTTTCTCGCAAGGACGAGAGTGAGGTTAGGATTTCTGGCCCAGAATTTGGGGGTGGGCCACATTCATCCAGCCACACAATATTAACATCGACCGACTGCAATAAATCGCTGGCCACATTTATTCAGCCGCACAACAGGAACGTTGGCTGTATAAAATAAAAGAGATGTTCTCAAAGTGCGGCTGGATGAACGTGCCGTATAAACAAATGTGTTGTCGTCCAAGATATCCCATCTCGCTGTTGGGGGCCCATATCCAAATTCCTACGTATGGCTTCAGTCACTGACTGTCGAGTGGCGAGACCTCGGTAACAGACGTGTCTCATCCAATAACAACCTAATTTGCGTCATCACTACACGTTTCATAACTATATCTCATACGTGCATAATCACCACCCGTCGGATCTCACAGTATATCGCAAGTGAGGGTGAAACAGCCGTTGGATGCTTCAAACCTCACAGAATTCTCGGCTTCTCTTCACAAAATCTCGATCTTAGAGCAAACAGAACGAAACAAAGCTCCATTCTCAGAGGAAAGGATCAATGGTTTCCTTCTATCTGACTCCCTTGTAGAATTGTGTTGGTATCCGGGGTTCTTTTACCTCTTCTTCTCATTCCCACTAATGATTTCATAGGTCTTACGATTTCTAGAGCTTTTATTCTACTTGTTCGATCGCCGAGCGTGTTGATTTTCGCAGTTTCGCTCAACCTTTTTATTTTTCTCGTTTTTGTTTCGTTGATTTTATTTCGAATTTTGGTAGGTTTTGGAGTCTTTTCTCTGCACTTTTATGGCGAGAGAGCTGCTCGAGTTGTTTGAAGCCGCGAAGAAGGCCGCAGATGCTGCGGCCGTGGAGGAGTCTCCAGCTGAAGAATCTCGGTGCCTCGATGCATTGAAGCGTCTCAAGAGTTTTCCCGTGACTAAGCAAGATCTTATCGATACTCAGGTATCTGGTCTCTCATTGAGTTTGCATTGTAGATTAAGGTACCGGTGGATTTCTGTGAGAGTTTCGAATCGATTCAGTTCATTTTAAGGTGTAGATTCATCTCTTGTCGTTTGATTTTATTGGTGTTTCAATATATTGTAATACATTTGGGTATTGTTTGTATTCCTGGGGAACTAAAGTTCTCTAAAAATCTGTCAATTTTTTTCTTGAAAAGCTTTTCCTTTTCTCCATTTTTTTCTTTTCTTATATTTTGGATCGAAATCCATCAATTCCGAGGGAAAGGAAAGAGAACTACCGAGACAAATTCAACTCAACGCAACCCAGCCTTTATCCCAACTATTTGGGGTCGACTACTGTTTGAGACATAGTGATGTTTTCTATTAATAGAAAACAGTGCTTGAGACAAAATAATTTCCATACAAAAGAGACAAACAAGCTCGTTTTCTCTTTTTCTTTAGTTTTTTATTTTTTCTAGTAATATAAGGGAAAAACACTACTGAGAACAGGAATAGTTCTTCCACACAAATCATGAGCAATGTACCTATCTAACCTTGGGAAATTATCCTGATTAAGCATTATATCTCTTCCTCCTCGGCATCTTAATGCAATTAGGTCTTCTACCTGGTTTCCTTCTTTGAATTGATGGGTTGCTCTGACCAAGATGTTTGACCTCCTCGATATCTTGCTTTGTTAGAATACACCATTTGATTCTTTGGGGTGGAATCTTCTTCTTCCTCCTATTTTTTGTGTTTCTTTGGCCTTGGGGGAATTACATTTGCGTGTCTGTGGTTTGTGGGCAACAGTTTCTTTTTGATAATTATATAATAGTATGTAGTATTCTATTGACCAGCTGCTACATGTCATGAACTAGAATGATTGATTGCCATGCAGATACATGTTTCTTCTACACCAAATCCTTTCTCTTCACCAAATGTTCAGGGGTGATCAATAAGTACAATAATTTAGAAATTAGAAGCCGTTTTGAGCTCAACACATCAGATCACTTGCACTTTCATACACCTCCATTCAGTCTGTAATAGGTTTCCCATTACACATCTGAAAATACTCATAAACATGTAACAGGACACCTGTCATGGACTGAATGGAAGTGTAGGAGAAGAGTGCAGGAGATCTGGAGTTGTTCCCCTAATGGCTGAAGTTGAAATTGAGTTAATAATTATATTCTTGAACTTTTTATTTGTTTAAAGTATTTTTATCCAGTGAAAGGCAAAGCAACAAGCCATTCAGTTTAGCCACTTCAGCCATTATCTAATGCCCCCTTAGTTGCAGACATATCAGAAGAAACTTGGTATTTCTTATTCTCTTTGTATGTATTATAGTTATTATTTATGCTCAGGGACTGAGTTACCCATTTGTATGAGATTGTAACCATCAATAAGTGTCTATACCCATCTTTCTTTGGCGCCATTGATTCATGGTTCTGGACCAACTCAGTGTTCACCTGTTTGGTATTGTGCTGCATGAATTGATGCTTAAGTAGTTGTATTTTTCCAGTTAATTTGAAACTAACTGCAGATTTGATTGGAACTTAGTGGCCCTAACTCTAAATGATTGATTGCAGAGTTAACTTAAAATTTAGTAATTTAATTCTAATTCCTAATTTTAACTTTTCTATGATATTTAAATTTCAGATTGGTAAGCGTGTTCGGAATCTCAAGAAACATCCTAGAGAGAAGATTCAGGCTCTGGCATCTGACTTGATTGAGATATGGAAAAGAGTAGTCCTTGAGGAATCCGCTAAAAACAAGCAAAATGGAGCCTCAGATAACAAAGAATCTCCAAAGGCTGAAGTTGCAAAGTTGGAGCCTGTTAAGGCTGAGAAAGTCCAAAATCCGGAATCTATAAAGGTTGAGAAGACTGAGAAAGCTGAGCGGGGTGAGACACTAAAGTCCGAGAGGATGGAAAAGATTTCCAGGGCAGGATCTTTCAAGACTGAGAAGAGGGAGGCTGTTAAGGTTGAAAAGATTGATGGGGTTGAGAATGCTAAGATTGAAAAGTTAAGCAAGGAGGAAAAACAAGCTTCTGGAATTAAGAAACCATTGCAAGCTTCTAATGGCCCTCCCAAGCTGACCACGATGATCAAAAGTAATGATGCCATGCGTGACAAGATCCGGGATATTCTTGCAGAGGCCTTTTCCAAAGTCTCCACTGAGGCTGATGAAGATGTTAGAGATGAAGTAGATGCTTGTGACCCAATACGCGTAGCCATCTCTGTTGAGTCTGTACTGTTTGGAAAATGGGGCCGTTCTAATGGTGCACATAAGGTGAAGTATAGATCTATAATGTTCAACATCAATGATCCAAAGAACCCTGATTTTCGAAGAAGAGTCTTGCTCGGACAGGTCAAGCCAGAGAGCCTTCTTTCTATGACACCCGAAGAAATGGCAAGTGATCAAAGGAGGCGTCAAAATGAACAAATCAAGGAAAAAGCTTTATTTGAATGTGAGCGTGGGGGCCCCCCAAAAGCCACAACTGATCAGTTCAAATGTGGTCGTTGTGGGCAGAGGAAGTGCACTTACTATCAGATGCAGACCCGGAGTGCTGATGAACCGATGACAACCTTTGTAACATGTGTAAATTGCAACCACCATTGGAAGTTCTGTTAGTAGGTTGTCTTTCTGAGGGTCGCTGCCATCCCAATTTTGAACAGATTTAACTTTGATTTTGAGCTAAGAATAAGAAGCTCCATCTTTTATTCTTGTAAATTCTATTACTTTTTTTTATGCATTCTGTGTGCATCTAATCTTTGATACCCCCCCCAGGATGAGAGAACCTAACAAACTTGAGTTGTTCAGTATACTATACTTGATTAATCTATGAACTACTTTCTCTCTATCCAGTGTAAGAGCATCTGTCAAACATAATCCAGTTTCAAACCATATGCCATTGTTTACTAGTTTTTTTTACAAATAGGTGCTTGTGAAATGTGTGTATATATGCAATTTTAATTGAATAAGCGGCTATCTGTTACAGCTATAAAACAAAATGTCAACATAGGCGTTTTGAAAGGAGTTAGGATTTGCTGCCCATAAGATGCTACCAACAATCTATACATAAGATGTTAAATTAGTCCCAGTGGATTTGCTCCTCGCAGATCTCTCCTCACACCAATGTCACAGAACTTTTCCCCGTCAATGACAACCTACAAATAAGGAAGATGTTCCCAATATACGGCTAAAAGTGCTGTGATGTGTGTGAGGAGCGTTTTGTTAGAATCGAATCCGGGTTTACATATTCTAGATGTGGGGCTGGATATGCGGCTGCAGTAGCTATCTGGGTAGCAGATATGTTCACAGATGAAAGATCTATAGCTGGGATAGAATTAGAAATGAACATACCAGCTCTCAAATAAGAAAAGAAAAATAAAATAGACTATTCAGTTTTTCGATTTTGAAACAATTGCCCATTGCTGATGCGTCCGTATTTTATTGGGGGCACCAGCAGATGTTCTCGCACTGAACAGAGGATTTATGTAAGCCGAGCTCCTGTTGCTTGACAAAATCAGCGGCAAAGGAGAGAGAGAGAGAGAGAGATTAAACTGGTAAAGGATCAGTGTTACTGACAAATTGAATTTGAACAGTACCAATGTGATTGAATTCAATGCTTGCCAATATTGATTCATGAAATATGAATTTAACTGTGAATCCTGGAACCCATCGGTTAAGTGCTGCAAAATGAAGAACAAATCTGGAAATAAAAATAAACATCCTTTATGTCTGTTGCTTTTGCAAATATAGAATTTGCCCCTTTCGTTTTCTTTCTCATCCAATCAGCCTCTTTTCTGTCACTTGCTCATTTTGAGACTCTGCGTTTCTGTCCACGGTTTTCTTCTCCTCGCTTTCCTTCTCCTTGGATCGCACCTCCTAAATTGAGCCCAGGAAAACAGAGTAAAAAGAAAATCAGCCCACGTCCGGGAGTCTAGTCAGAGCTCATAGCCCCCCAATGTGTTTTAATCTCGATAAGAATACCAGAAATAGGAAATCAGTTATTAGAGCCATAAAATACTTGCCTGCAACAGGGCTTCTTCTGTCCTCTTTTCTCTTTCCTTTTCCCTGAGCGATTGAACGTGAAGGACTCTCTGCTGGTAAAGATGAAGAAGCTATTATTAGCTCAGATTTCGAAATACGAGAGGACCGAGGTTGAAAAACAAAATCATATCGACATTGGATTTTGCTCACCATGCAACGAGATTGGAGTTCCTTGAGCAACTGCAGTTTTTCCATCATGTTCTCAAGTTTCTTCTGTGCTTCCCATCTCTTCTGCAGTTCCTGCATCCGCATATCCAGCATCGCATCCCTCTCCCTCAACTTCTTCTCTGTCTTCTCCTTATCCACTCTCTGCCGTTCCAGCCTCTTCCGGATCGCGCTTAGTTCCTCTGCAAGAGAAGCGTCGAAGGGTGCGATTCTCACGGGCAGTGGCGAGAAGGGACGGTTCTCCTTATCCAAATCGCCATCGCCATCGCCATCCACTGAGATCTCGAACCGTTCCGGCTTTGGCGTCTTGGCCTCCACCGAATCGTCAATAGGACGATTAACCGGAAAATTCATGGGCTGCAGGGGTTTCCGGCAAGCATTCTGCCGGGGGGTTTGATTGAGGACGATCGGCGATTGTGTTGATAGCATCTCTTCTATCTATGCTTAGAGTTCTGCTACTGGGGTAGGTTTGAATTTGAAAGGAGGCAGCGCCAACGGCTACTAGATGTTGTAAGTTGTAAACAAATATTTATAAACGTTTGGTGGGTGGTTTGAACGAAAGCAGTTCACTTTTGGGAGTCACCAAACTGGAAAAGAACCCTAGAACTAAATCTTTCTCTGACTCATCTGACTCCGAAATTACGACCCAGAAACAGGATGCCATACACTTGCCACCTGTCAACTTGGATGAACCCAGAATTAGGGTAGGCTGAGGGACATGTGGTAAAAAGCAACGTGACTGACTGGTGGTTGAATTAATATTAAGAAGAAGAAAAATAGGGGGTAGTTGAGTGGAGTGAACCAGTCCAGTTACTTCCCGTACATGTATGTGCTGAGTCTCGTGGTTGACCACGCAATGACCACGCAAGGACATCATCAGTTATAAAGATCATCAGCTGAGCCTGAGCATTAGAATCTAGGCCACGGACGAAGCCATGTTGAGACTTGACTTGAGACTCTAAATTTTAGATTTGTTAAGCGTCTCATCTCTATCATCAGGAGCCAGGAGCCATGAGCCACAGCAGCAATGTGATTGTCATTTGAATTAACATAAAAAAAAAAATCAGACGACCAACGGGAATGTTTCCTCGTGAGGCGGTGAGCGGTGATTGTGCCATCCACGTGCAAGTCCGCCAAGATTCTGAGTTCTGTCCCACCCTCACCCCCTCCATCTGTTAAATTAACGTCCACTAGGAGGACCCTACAGTTTCAATTTCGCTGGGAGGGAACTCTACTCTGGGAATCATCAATTATGATGAGAGAGAGAGAGAGATTGGAACGAAAGAGTATAATATGTTATTATTCTTGTTAATTATTAATGGCCACATATAGGACAAATAAAGCATGAATGGTCTCTATACATGCAAAAGATTTATTATTACTATTATTTGGACTTCATGCAAAAAAATTTTTATCTATACTAGTAGGGACCCGTGCGATGCACGGAAAAATCCAATGTCTAATTTGCTGGTAAAAAAAAATCAAAAGGATATATTGAATGTCGGCTGCTGGAAAATTTTCAAAAGTATATATATTAAATTATTGATTTTTTTAAATATATTAAATAATTTATTTTCTTTTTAAATATATTATTTACAAAATTACATTAATTTATCTTTTATTTTTTAGTATAAGTTAGTTAATAATTTCATTTTCTAAAATTTTCCAATAATATACTAATATATTAATAACAGAAATAATTTGTGTAATTATTGGTTCAAATTACCGTTTTCCTTTACCAATACTAATTTATCTTTAATAATTTAAAATGAAAATCACACAATTTTTAAATAATTTTCCAAAATCTATCAAATGTAATAAAATTTCCCAAATTTCCAAAATATTCCAATAATTTTCAATAATTATTTACTACAGTTTAAAGAAATTTTCCAAAATTATGTTAATATATTTTTTATTTTCTTCTCCAAAATTTTCCAAAACTATGATATTTTGTTTGCCAGTTTGCAAACTCCACCAACTCTTTCCTCGAGCTATAATTGTTGACTTTATTTTTCAATTTATAATTTATAATTATTTTTAAATGACATTTATAAAGAAAACATTGGTTGAAAATTTTGTATATTCATTGATTTCTAGTAATGTTTCTGGAAAATGACACAATTAAATTGTTAGTGTAATAAAATTAATTTTAAGAAATTGTAACTATAGTAAAATATTTATTATAATGATTACTCTATTTAATTACTACACCAAAATTTCAATAATAATTATTAGTGTAATAATTATTTTGAAAAAATAATTTAATTTAACTACACTAATAATTATTATTGGAATTACAGCTATTTCAAAATTACTCTAATTACAGTATTTTGAAAATAACAAATTTTACTATAATAATTAATGTAACTTAATAATTCTTATTACACTAATAAGAAAATTACAATAATATAATTACATTAATAAATTTATGAAAATGTAAATTCCAATGATAATCATTACTGTAATTATTATCAGCAATAAAATTCTAATAATAATTATTGTTATCAATTTCCGTAAAATAATAATTTACACTAAAATTTCAAAGATAATTATTTCTGTAATAAAGTTAATATGAAAAACAAACCTGTAATTAGAAATAAAATTTTCATTACAATAATTATTGTAATTGAATTATTACAATAAAATTCCAATAAGATTTATTAGTGTAATAAAATTATTTTGAAACAAACTGTAATTATTTTTGGAATTTCTGTATTTCAAAATTACTGTAATTACAGTAATTTCAAATAACAGATTTTATTGTAATTTATAATTCTGTAGTAATTATTATTTTTAAATAATGGAAATTTGTGTAATTTAATAATTACATTATTGGAATTGATACAAAATGGAAAATTGTTAATTATGGAACAATAATTATTACTATTAATTTCCATTATTTTAAATCAAGATTCACAGTTTTTTCAAATTATTAGGTAATGGGAATTACTATTTGAGATTATGAAAAAAAGGAATTAGTTATGCTACACTAACAATTATTTTAGTGTAATAATTATAATTACATTGATAATAATAAAAATTTCAATAATTATAAATTATGATAACATAATTATAAATTTTCAATAATTACAATAATTTTCCATAATATTCCAAAAATTAAAAAAAATGTCATAAAATTACAAAATTGCACTAACTTATCTGTTATTATCAATTAAAATTAATCAATAATTTTCTGAAAATGTAATAATGAGAATTATGCTAATTTTCTGAATAATCAATTATTGATTTTCAATAATTATTTATTGGTTGAATAATCAATAAATTTTCAATAATTTCAGTAATCTATTGAATAATGTATTGAATAATTTATCAATAATTCATAATTATCTGAAATCATAATTATGATTTTTAGAAATGTAATTATTTCAATATCATTTACCAACAATCAATTACTACAACTTTTAGAAATTATTGGTAATGATTTATTGATAAATATTAATAGTAATTTATTAATAAATTAATTATTTGTATTTATTTTCAGAAATTACTATTATTATTTTTGTAGATTTAAATGAATATTATTGATTAATAATTATAAATAATAATAGTAATATTTTAATTGTTCTAATTTTTTAATTATTTCCTTGCTAATTAATATATTAATTATGAATTATTGTAATATACTTATTTATTAATTAATGCATTAGTAATTTATTAATTATCTCATTTACTAATCTGGTTGGATTGGACATGTTCTAAAAATGAACCAAACATTTGTAGTCTAGGGTGTTTGCCAAAACTCTACTTGTCCCATCCTCTTCAAGCACTTTAAGAGGGGATAGGATTGAAAATATGAAACCAGGGAGGGGGTAGGATTGGAAACCCCCAAACTCTACGTGTCCCATACTCCTATTATCTTGAGGCATTTTAAGAGGGAATAGGATTGAAAATATGAAATCAGGGAGGGGTAGGACTGAAAACTGCCAAACTCTACTTGTGCCATTCTCTCTAGGCATTTTAAGAGGGGATAGGATTGAAAATATGAAATCAATGAGGGGTAGGATTGGAAACCCCTAAACTCTACTTGTCCCATAGAATTAAAAATATAAAATCATGGAGGGGTAGGATTGGAAATATAAAATCGGGGTGTTGGACGATTCATCCATTTCCTCTTGGGTAAGTATATATATTTTCTGTCACTCAATATAGAACCTCCTAAAGAGGAAGTGCTTTCCTTTCTACGTCTTAGCAGGTCTCCCTCTTGCGTGTTAGCAGGTTTTCATACATTCTCTTTCGGTCTTTCCCCTCTCCCCCGCTGCAAAACCCCTTCCATCATCCCTTTGCTTCCCACCCCCATGTGATCTCTTACTCCATCCACTTGGATGGCTGATGATGATATCCTCCGTAAGCTCTCCAGAATCCTTGGCCCTGCCACTCCTAACGCAATGGAGGCTTCTGCTGAAGATGCTCTACCAAATGAAGCATGGCAACGTAATCTCATTATCAAGGTGCACACTGATAAAACAGTAGAGTCCATTGGTTTAAAGGACATGATCACAATTCACAAAAGCTTGGAAGGTCCCGACAACAACTATTGTAGAGTTCACTAAAGATATTTACATGGTGAGGTTTGAAAGCTCATTCGATCGAGATCAGAGCATCGACAAAGGACCCTGGCTTTTTGAGGATGACTTGATTATCCTTCAAAAAGGTGATCCGTCCCAAAAGCCAGAGTCCTATGAGTTTACACATGCAGATCTCTATGTTCATCTGATTGGGCTCCCGTTGGCTTATTTGAACGCGAATGCAGCTTGCAAGGTGGCATCGCGAATTGGCAAACCTTACCGACCATCACAAGAAGAGGTAGCAAAATGGGGTAGATTCGCACAACATTGATGTTTCGGTTCCTTTACCACAAGACATACCTTACAAAATTCTTACATGAGAAACCATTCTGGTCCAAATCCAATACGAGAGACTTCCGAGGTTTTGCACTTTTTGCGCGCGCGCATTGGACATGAAGTTGGCGGTTTCCGTCCCAAGCCACTGATGAAATTAAAGCATAGATGTTGTCTCTAGACAAGGAGAGAATCACGGCAGATATCCGAACTGCGGTATCGTACCGTTCATCACCATCAAGGAAAAACTCAAGAATGGAATCGACACCGTTCATCACCATCCGGTAACAACTACAAAATCCATATTGTTCCGTGTCATGGCCTTGCTGGAGGGTTGTGGTTTGGATGGGATCGTAACATCAATGTTGAGATAAAATTTCAAGTTCTGATTCAATAATCCATTGCCGAATCCATGGTTTTCTCCGTTACGCCACCTGGGACCTTCTTTGTTGTTACCTGCATCCATCAATTGAAGGGCGTAGATCTTTTCTCGATTTTGTTACATCTTTCAACAGTGCCAATAATCAACCTTACTATATAATTGGTGACCTGAATATGATTACTAAAGTTGGGGAAAAAAGCGGTGGAGCTAAACCAAAAGTAAGAGTGCTAAAAGAGTTCACTAAACTTGTTAAAGGAAAGAAAATCAAGAGCATTCATATTTGATTTCATGAAGGAGAAAATCGTGGGAGAAAATCATGGGTCA